CTTACAGAATATTAGAGAAAATTAATTAACAAGAAGAAAGGAGCAGCGGGTCTAGAAAATTTTTGTGATTCTGTTCACAGTCATTCTAGATGCACCTGACATATTTACAGCAGTTTCTTAATCTCCAACGGTTATGAATCCCTTGCTGTTATTTTAAGGCCTCACATCGTCTTCCACACTCCTTGCTCACAGAATATTGTCAGAAATTACGAGGGGGTTGAAGAAATTAGATCCTTGAAAGATTTTATTCTGATTCTTCCCAAGAAAGCTTAGAATGGCCTCCCAGCTTCCATGTCAGGATAAGGTAAAAGTTCTTATTCTACAGCCTTTATTTTGTGAGGAACTACAGTAACATTTTATATTCGTTTCAGAAACGGACTGAGGACTTTGACAAGATCACTACTTCCAGTCTCTGTATTGTCATCTTAAATTATATTGCTCTGCATTAAATTGTTCATTATTAGAAGATTCATATCAGACAGCTTAGTACCTGAAATCATCCAACACAAATTCAGTTTTTATGGGCCCCAAGTCTGAAATTTGTTTCTGAATGAGAATCAAAACGGCGATAAAACAATTCCTACAAATTACACTAGACTGACTTAAATGCAGGAGTAAAATTAAGCACAATGGCTTCATGGACTCGTTTCTTTTTTGAGCACGAATTTAAATTACTAGCTTTATCTTTATCTTAGCAGGCATGCAAATATGCTTTTCCATTCACATTTGGGGATAAAAAAAAAAAAGAGACTAACTAGTATCCATAGACAAATTTGAAATATACTGTTAGTTAGGTCATTTTGTAGCGGAACTTATTTATACCCACTTTGAAGGTGCTTACAAGAAGAGAGTATTTTGCTGTATTAGTCAAGCACTTCTTAGTCTCTGCTTGTTATGTACGAACAACTTCGTTGCTTATACTATTGTTCACCACAAAGGGAGGAATGTATCAAAACAGTTTACTTCTTATCTTGTCCATTTGCTACAGGAAAGCCTTAATTATTTCGTTCTGATTTATTACAAATACAGAAGTGGACATTATCGAGGGCAATCTGTGGCAATCTGGCACGGCAGTCTGGCTATTTCTGGCCAAGTAACAGCTTCACAGCAAGTTCAATATTTCTGAGTACAGCAAAAAGTATGTTTATTATGGAGAAAAGCAGTAAAAAAATCTTGCCTTTACAAAAATGTAACAGCACTGAGTATTCTAGTGCTTCTCCTGACCGTTATGCACGCAGCAATTTAATCAGCAGTGAAGGTACTGTCCAAGTTTTCTGACAAATAAGACAATGATGATTTTAAACCTTAAACTAGGAGGACGACAGAGTTCTTGCCAGTGAACTTGCTTACAGCCAAGTCTCCTGTATCTTCTTGTGCTTTGGTTCAAGTGCAGAAATTTACCGACTTATTTAATATGAATTGACACAGTGGGCTAAATTGTCACTTAAAATCCGATACCCATCAGCTGCCCAGCAGTATTCCAGATACAATGACATGAGTGGAAATACAGGTCCAATAAGGCAGCCAGGTAAAAGCAATTTATTCAGAAGAGACATAGACTCCTTTACGTTTCAGATAATTTTGCCCTTTCTCATTTGATGACACCTTACCTTTATAGAATACAGAATGGCCACTTGTTTCTCAGTTGCATAATCTCTTTGAGGTTATATAAATTTTGTGTAATTTCAGTAGGAATTTAATCAAAATTGTGGCTGTTGAGGCTTGGTATCACGATGTTTACCTTAGGATTGTACAACCGGTTTGATTCTAAACAATGTTCTCCCTTCAGTTTCAATGAACATTTAAGTGATCTTGTTTTCCCCTTCTAAGGCTACACTAAAAAAAAAAAAAAAAAAAGTCCAGAGCATATAAAATATTACTTTTCCCATTCCACTAGAAATTTAACTTATGTAGGTATGTTATTTATTTTAATACGGGATCTTTCTTACTGTTCCTTCTCCCCCTACTTTTTCTTTTTTTTGTTGCAGTTATGAACAGACGAAATAACTCTCAAACTTTTGAGAGTTGAGCAAAATGTAGCAAACCAACTTCATTTTCACTGCTGTTTAGCATAAGGATTAATTTTCCATTAGCACACCCCTTCAATGCTTGCATCTCATCTGCACAGCTCTCCATTCAGAAAAAGCTGTATTACCAAGTGTAACCTTGTACTGACATATGCAGTCAGCTCAAGGTCGGTCACGGACAGGGAAGCAGCAGGAAGTAATAAACCAGAGAAATTATATAAAGCTAAGGGAAGGTGGATATCTAACTACTCAAGGGTGTCTTTTTTGATCATTCATTAAGTCTTCTGATTAAGTGTTTCTGATGTACCTGCTTTCTTTAAACTTAAAAACAATCCATCCTTCCCAATAAAAAAAAAAAAGAAATATATATATTTTTTAATGTACTTCAAACTACCCATCTGTTACATCCCACAAAGGACAAATACCACTTTCAGGGATTCCTCCACACCTTGTGTTCAACTGTGAAGCAGCCAATCATTAAATACTGATGATGCAAGTTTCTTCATGGCTGAGTTGCAGCACCTGACATTTTCAAGTGCCACTTTAAAACTAAAATACTTACTTACTTCCTGAAGGTGCTCTGCAGATCACCAACTGCCCACAAAGACTCTAGCTACATATGCTTGAACGTGCGACCATTCTAATTTTTAAAAATGTGTTCTAGAACTTGATACAGTGCTTTGAAAATTTTCCTGCCTCTCTGAAAACCCGGCACGTAGGTGAAAAAGATAGGAAAGCATCGCATTTACAAAGCACTTTTGAAAAAAGAAAACAAACAGAAATGTTAAGTGAACCAGAAGATAGTGTGTTTCATTAGACTTCACCCAAGTAGATTTTCTGTTGTTAACTGGTTCTAATAGAACTCTGGCACTGAGCTGAATCTTGTAACCTGGTCAATCCAACAGAAGAGTTTTGTGCCAAAATTACTAGGTTAGGATATTGTGTGATTAGTTTAAAGACCAGCTTCTGTCCATCTTTTAGGCATTTAGTAACAGGAGCTCTCCTAAAATAATCCTGTCCAGAGACGTGTCAGTGTCTTGTGATGCTCATGCCTAAGTTAAATCTAAGTTAAAAGGGTCATTTCAAGAACTCCAACTGTCTAGATAGGATTAGGCAACTAATCTCTCAGTTATCCACACAAAATGATGAGAGTATACAAAACCCCTCCTCACAGGAGCCATAAACCCATAAATTGACAAATGCTAAGAAAGAGCACTTTGATGATTCTGTGAAAAACTTCAGACAGTTAAACCTCCCATGACCATAGTGTCTAAATGAACAGACTTTCCACAGGGTCCATCAGAAAGCAAATCACAAGTACTGTGCAGGACTACTAAGTATGTACCACTGAGTAACAATATGGACTTTTCTTCTCATTCAGTTGCAAGTTTTGTTACAGCCTTCCATCACCTAAAGCAAGAGAATTAATTTAAATTTTCTTCCAAAACTAAGTTCATGATGCAGAGAACAGCCTCCTCTTATTATTTGGCTGTACAAAGCCTATCACTAGAGGTTCAGTGGCATTTATCTCAACGCAGGTGTTAACTACTGTTCTAGTTAGCATATAGGGTTTTGCTAATCAATCTTTAATTTTAAAGTATGGAGAGACTTCTTTTCTGTTTTAATTTAAAAAGGCAACTGGAGGTTTCTTCCCAAAGAATAAATAGAACGCTAGGTCAGGCAACAGTCATTTATTTATTGACTTAAACAAGCAAAAGGTATCCTCAGACATAATGGCCACCACTTGAGCAATACAAATCAATGCTACTGAAGGGAACATCTTTTCTCTCACACCCCCCATCCCAGAAAACAGGGAACACCTTTTCTCTCACACCCCCCATCCCAGAAGTAACTAGAAATACCAGGGCCCCTAGAGAAAAGAGAAGGAGAAAAATCATAAGAGGTGCTTAGAATGGGCTGCAGAGTTGAAACATGGACACTAAAAAAACCCCAAACATTAGCTAATCCACCCTATCACCACTATCACCTCAAAAATAACTTTAATCGTTCCATTTCTACCAGGTACCAAATATATAGCGCTGTTTAACAGCAATTTCAATGTATTAACAACTGTCCTCAGCTGAAGCAGAACAGCAATTACTATTTATACTAAATTGGAGGCTGCAGATAGAAAGAAAGGTTTCCACGGAGTACGATGCAAGTCTTCTCTAGTTAATGAAAAGGGAGTGGGGGAGAAACAAAGCTACTTTTAACAGTTACTGTACATCTCTATGAATCAAGCAATTCATTCTGTATTGATAGCTCATGACAGACACAAGATCCTGATAGAGTATGGCAACTCTACTCACCCCGTGACAGTATATCTGAAGAACGTATCTGTAAGTCCCTGAAGTTGTGGGCCACTGAAAATCCCAGCCTGCTACTCCTGTGCGGGCATTTTTTAATCAGACATCAGCGAAAAAGCAAACAGACGGCATGCAAATCATTTAGTCTTCCTTGTAACAGTTGAAAACAGGAGTAAGGCATTCCTCAGATTTAGAGAAAACATTAGGAGGCTGTAGATTTGCAGGCAAGGAGACCTTTTATTTTAATCCATTAAAAGAACCCAAAATAGTCAGCAGGTGGCCACATCTATCCATGTTTCATTAAAATCACATAAACCCTAAGTACAAAAGCACCACTGATTATTGCTCTAGAAAAACTGCATGAAAAATTCAAATACGCACAGTAAAAACATCACCATATGCACAAGACTTAATTTCTTATAGCAAGTGTATGGAATGCTGATCCAATTTTACACATACCTTGCAATATTAAGTTGATATTTATATTACTTGGCAACAATGGGAATTTCTAAAAGCACTGTTATGAGAAGGGAAATGTTCATATACAGTTTAATATGTCAACTATCATAGTCCTAAAAAAATTAGCATTTACAAAATACTTGATAAAAATATCTTTTAAAAGTTGTCCAAGAGGTACATAAAATCAACCCAAAATTTTCATGATATTTCATTCATTCTTGTCACCTACAGATTCAGTTTTCTGAGCCTGTGGAGAAGAAAAACAGAAATTAGTTACTATAGTAAATTGCCATTTGACAGCTAAGCACCCAAATTACCCTCACTCCTTTAATTTCTTATTTGCGACAGCTCAGTTTCCAACCTACCTCCAGGTTACATTTACACAAACAAAACAGGTACATTCACACACTTTTCTTAAATTATCGGTCCCAGCTTTTCAAAAGCAATACAAGCCTTACCTGTCAGCTTCCATTGTTCATATTGAAAAGCACCACACTACTATCTGTTTCTAGTCACTGCACACATGCTGAATTCTCTACCGTACCCTTAACTTTCACTGTTTCAATCTGCCCTTTTACTGACAGTGTGCTGGGTGGGGCACCTCTGGATGTTGAAACACTAAGAGTTGAGCGAGAGATGTGAATCTGCAATAACATTATGGGCAATAAAAAGAAACATTATGAACATGCTATCAATGTCTGAAAGGCCGAATAATTAAAAAACACTGATTCAATCAGCAGGAGGTATGTGTGGAAAGTACCTCGTCAGCTTTATTTTCACCATTTTCTGATGGTGTAGTACCTTCCTTTGCAGCTTCTTGCTTTTCATCCTTCTTCCCTTTAGCACCTTTGTTGGCCTTTGTTCCAGGTTCCTTCTGACAGAAGATTAAAAACATGGGCATAGACATCATATGAGTAGCCAGCACCCTACATCTTTATCAAAAAACTTTCTTATGAACTAAAAAGCAAATCTTTGCAAGCTAGCGTGTGCTAGACTGAAACACAAAAAACAGCGGAAGACTACCTGGAAAATGTATATGCACAAAAGGTATACAGAGACTCTCAAAATTTCTAGAAAATACAGATTTCTGCTTCTTTATTGTTTCTGCTAATTTACAGGGATACAAAACCCCCTCAAATATTTTGGTAGAGCCGAGGTGTATATACAGAATTATATACAAGGTATCTGTATGAACAAATCCAGTTACAGTCTACTGAAAGCTTATTCAGCCAAGCACAAACAACACACTGTTTGTGTAACAGCACTACACTTTCGATTAACATGAAATATTAAATTAGATTTAAAAAATTAAGCATTTTTGTTGGCTGTCCTTTTGTTAGTTTGATAACATCTGTGATGTTCATTCCATGTCAATGAAAGAACCAACCAACACACCAGGGAGGCAAACACTGATAAAATTCCATCTGCACCAACACAAAGCAGAGAGTTTATCAAAAGGAACTATTCTAACAGCTATAGTTTCGTTTGGAGATTTGCTTTTAAACAAACAATTCATATGCTGAAGTCTAGGTTTTTTTAATCCCTGCTCTATGTACATATTTGTATTTGTGATCTAAGGCTAGTAGAGACATAGGTTAAGGATTTTAAGTGCAATGGGATAAAAATTTAAATGGTATTTAATTAAATATTTTACATCGGTATTTAAAGTAGTTCTGATAAACACTATGGAGATCTTCCATGTGATCATTGGTCCAAATTCTCCATGCAAAATGGCAATAGCAGCTGTGAACAGGGTTAAGGTCAGTCTCCCTTCATTAACTACCTTTCCCCAGCGATCCCCATAGAGGAGTGGGGTAGTGAGGAGGGAGCGCCAGTAATTCTAGTTCCAGGGCAGCCCGAATTACTCATTTCACCCTTCAGCTTCAATGTTACACAGCAGCTGTGGGTCACCCTTCAGCTTCAATGTTACACAGCAGCTGTGGGGCTTAACTGAGAAGCTTAATGGTGATGTGAGTACAGTCGTTAAGTCTTCACCTATGAAAGAACAAGCTAAGGACTGGACTTAGTAAATCCATAACTTGCAAGCTTTTAACACCAAAAATTATCTCAAATTTGTTCCATCTACAGTTGTTTACTAGCAGGTTCAGACTACACACTTGCTCTTCTCTGTTTAGGGGACCAAGATTAATATACTCTTTAAAATGCGATGCAGTTAGAGTTTAGAAAAAAGCAGATTACTGCATTAAAAAATTACTTAGAATAATGTCATAAAGGATTAGAGTCCCCTGAAATGAGCTTCAATTGCCTCTCATGCAGCTTAGACTGACTCCGTAACACCGAGCTCATTTCACAACATGTACACGAAGCCATGGAAGCTACCATATCCCCTTCTTTATTAATACTCTTTTTAAAAGGGGAGCAGAACGGACTCAGCAAGATTTTATTGATAATTTCATTTGATAAATCATAAAACGTTCAAAGTCATAGAGTTTTACTTTCACATACGGACTTTGTATCCTGGTACTTGCCCAACTGAGATACCAGTAAAAGGACTCGAAAAAATTTGTGAAGAGTGCTAGACTCAGTTTCCAGCATGTTTTTTTCCACTAAAGCAATTGCTCTTATTTAACATTCCCCTTGGGCACAAATAAATCTACAGTTTCTGAAGTACATGATTTATATGCAGAAAACCTGAAAAGGTATTTCAGACGCTAATAAGATTTTAATTTGACTGTAACTGGCCTAGAAAACCTAAACCATTCAAATTAAATATATTTAATTTCACCTTTAATTATAATTGTGCATTCTCAGCAACGTCCAGGCTTCAAGAACAGATAAGAGTTTCTCACTATGAAATGAAGTACTGTCCCTCTAGACAAGGAAACAGGATGGCACAGAGTAATCTCAAATCCTATAGTAGAAATTGCTAGGTTTCAGGTAGAGCTTACTCAACTAAACCCGTACATTTCAGGAAAGGTAAAGATTCTTCTTAAACTAGGAATTCACTATAAACTAACATGGTCTGCATATCAAACAGGCAAGACATTTTGTTTCAGTCAGTAATGAGGCCAGGAAGGGGTGGAACAGAAAGAAAAGAATGATCTAAGTTGTTTTTTTTTCCGGGGGGGGAAAGGGGAGGGCATGGAGGGCAGGGGAGTCGATGCCTCACAAAAACTGCTGCGAATCGAACTGTTTGCAATGCAAAGGAGTATGCTTGCTTACTATTGGCTACAATGACGGCAACTAAAAAGAAGAGTATTTACCTTCGTGGTTTTCCTTGGTTTGGGTTCAGGTTTTGGTGGAGCAGGTTTCTATAAAACATTTTCAGTTGCACAATGTGTTAGACATATTAGCAGAAGCCAGCCAGCCACCTCCACACCCCAGCCTCCCCCACCCCACACCTTCCCTTACTTCCTGCTCATTACTATGCATCTAGAAATAGACTGAAAAACCTTAATGCACAAATGCACCTCATCACTGTACACACCCGTTTTCATTAGCTCACCCATCTAGGAGTCAAAGCAATTTGGGGGTCATTCTAAAAGTAAAACGTGGAGATTAGTAGTAACTATTAAAAAAAAAAAGTCAGATAAAAAAAGTCTTCTAACAGAGAAGTGGAACTAAAACTAAATACTAGTAGTGGCATCAAATGAAGTCCTTGAAGGACAGCTCTTTCTCCTTCCAAGGGAAGTAGTTGCATTTCCACAACTAACATCAGCCTGCAAAACGGTACGAAGTCAATCCCGCACGTAACAGACAGTGTTGCACTGAGGTGGGGAAAATACATCTTTTATCAGAACAACCTGAAAACCTGAAACCAAGAAAACACAGATAACTTTAGCTCCGGAGTTCTTAAATACCCCTCAGCTAGAATAACAGTTGAATCAAGCAAAACATAACAAACCTGTTTGGTCTGAGAAACCATATGTGCCTAGAAAAGTACATACCAAAAGGTGTTATACATACTTACAGCTGACAATCTTGCTGATCGTCTTGTGGGCTACAGAAAAGGAAAAAAAAAAAAAGGAGAAGACATTTTTATAGGCTTACAGCAAACAGTATCCAAAGCAACATAGTATCAGTCATTTCATGGTTACAGCATAAAATATGCCCTTACCAACGTGTGTCTCTATTGCCAAACACAATTCACGTCTTCCTCATTTTGGACAATCAAAATTTTAAAGGGACAAAGTGATATGGAAATTAGTAATAAAAATTGGTCAGGAATTATAACGTGTAAATTTCCATATGGTTAAACACTTTTTTTTTCTGCCCCCATTTTACAAGTACTTCTGAGTCCCTCACTGCTCTATGAAAGGTTCACAAATACAGCAAGCCTGACTACCTGTGCACAGGACACTGAACATTTCTCACAAGTACTTAGAATGATGTTTCTACAATCTAGCAGATGCTACTTGTAATAGTGGGTAAAAATACCATCTGATTAACAGCAGAATAAAGTTAACATCCTTGCCTAGAGGATATCAGAGTGCTAAAATTTCAAAACATGAAACCGAGTCCTTCCACTTCCTCAGTTCCTCACACACTCAATCCAAGAGTCTAGATGCACAAAGACACACGTGCCTCATTTCACTCTGTTCTTTATCATAAATTTATTACTGAAGATGAGAGTCTTAGAAATAGTTCTAAGCTCATTAGTTTGTTCACAATATTTTTGTATTCATTAAAACAGCCGAACCCATGATCCGGTTACACAGCACGGTTACCAAACAGAGTTAAAGTTTGGTCTATGTCATAAAACTGGAGTCACACTTGTAGCCAAAATAAAGGGACAACTGAACTGCAACGAATATCCAATGTAACACAGCTTAAAATGTGAAAAAAAAAATACCTTCTTAATTAAGCATTTAAGTTGAGCTGAAAAAGCATGGCTCCACACATCTTGCAACAGGAAAAAGCTGTTGTTAATATCTGAGGAACGCAGTAATTTGTATTCATTGGAGCCATTTAAGTATTCTTAGTGGAAAGCATTAGTGAATAGTTCAGATCTGCATCCAGCAAAATAGAAGTCTTTTCAAAAAACACCTAAAGATATTTTCAGCTATCAAATATTTATGCATCATTAACAACAACAAAAAAAGTAAACCTCTATTTTCTTGGCAATTTAGACTATCAACTGCTTGTTTAGCAGCCTAGCACTATTTTACAACAGGTTAAATAAAGCATTTCACTTTGTCGGGTAATCAAAGAACTCCTAGCTCAAGGCATATTCTTTTACAAATCTGTTTTCTTAACTGATGATTTCTATCCCTCAGCATTTGGGCACTGGAATGTTTTGTTAGCATCTACTTTTTAAGGATAATATGTTGTTTTGGATAAATTATAATTCTCTCCCATATTCCCCAACTGTTCCTGTTCTGTGATTGGTTTCACAGAAGGCTTGTACTGCCATAAGAAAGTCAGCATAAACCCTTAATTCTTTAAAAATGCCTGACAGGTAAGTAATTTAAATTCTCATTCAGAGTTTGTATGTCTTCTGTGTTATCTGATTTTAAGGAGGGATTTTGATTTTGCAGTCAAGTCACCAAAGGTCACATTTTAATGTGCCTTTGGAACCCTTGTCCCCCTCCCAACAGCTCTACTAAGCCAAAAACCAGCAGCTCACCCAACAGTCTATTTGACACTGGCCCACTAGCAAACACCTACGGGAGGAGTCTATGAAACAGAGCAGACACAGAACAACACTTCGCACTTTCCTACTCCACCAGCTTCTGCCAATCTACAGTTGCAAACTTTCCAACCTGGACATTATATCCACATCATGTGTTTAACAGTCCCCCAAGGTCATTTTCTCCATAAATTTGTCTAATAACCTAGCGAACCCATTTACACTTTCCGTTTCCATAACATCCTGTGGCAATGAGTTCCATAATAGGATTTTACACTGTGTGGACAAGTAAAAGCAAAAGATTCCCCCTCTGCTGTCTTTCTTTTAAACTTCTTGCCTCTTACTTTCACTAGATTCCTCTTATTTTCTGATTACATGAGTAATAATTCCCTAACTGCTTTTTCTGTGTTACTGATGATTTTATCACACCTCTATTATATAAAAAGTCAAGAATCCTAGAAAATCTGGGTTGTGGTTTGTTTTATTTTAAAGCTGCTCTGCATCCTTTGTTTGCCCCACTATATGTGGTATCCTCTTCATTCTATCATGGCCTTTTTAAGGAAGACTCAGAACTTCATTTAGTAGTCCCATATCTGGGAACACAACATCATTGATGTTTCACACACTGTCCTCTAGTATTTCTTCCTATATTCTAGTTACCTTTTGTTTAGAAGAACTGACATTTTCTAGCAACTATTCACTGAGATTTCATCTCCCCTGATTAACAGCCAATTTGGTGACCATCACTGTGTCCTACCCTTCCACCCAGTGCATTAATTTGCATTTCTCCATACTCAGTTTCTATTGATATTTTATCACCTAGTTATCAGTGACATAACAGCCTTCTCAGTCGTTCTCACTTCTGACTACCCTGATATTTTTTTGTAATTTCAACAAACTTTGTCATTTCTACAGTACCTCTTCTCCTAGATCATTAATGAATACATTCAGCAACACAAGTCCAAACACAAATCCTCCACTGATATTTCTCCTCCATTATGAAAATTAACTACTTCTTCCATACACTCTTCTCATATCTTTATCTGTTCCAAATTCTTAGGAAGATCTTCCCTTTAATCCATGCTAGCTTAGTTTCTTTAAGAACCTGCTTGGGGAGCCTTATCAAAGTGTTCTTTACACGCAAGGAAACTGTATCAATTGGCATGCTGTCATTATTACACCTGTTGACTTCTATAAAGAACTCAACTGCCTTAAGTATGACTTCTTTCTGCAAAATCCATGCCAACTCTCCCATTATACATTTGTCCACATATACTTTTTTTTTTAAAAAAATTACTTTTGCAAGTTAGACTCACAGGCTTTATTTTCCAGAATCTCTTATCTAAAGTCCTGGGAGCATGTCATCGCCTTCAGCCACTCTGGTACTGAGGCCAATGCAAGCAGTAAATTACATACTGCACTCAAAAGTTTGGCAATTACTGGTGAATACTATCTAGTTCTCACACTCAACTGAATAATGTCCTCCTCACTATACACCCATGAGAAAAGGCTCCACTGTGACAATCTCCCTAAGAATTCTCCATAGCAGGAGTCTCACTACTGCATTTTCAGCTTCACATTTGCCCTGCTGGAGACTTTGCTCCTTTCCTCATTATTTTCCATCAATACAAAAAATATCTTTCAAAAATAATAAATTTCCCTTATTTTGCTATTAAGCCATTCCAGTTTTGTGTTGTTTTTTTGGGGGGCTTTTGAAAAATAACATGCATTTCTGCAAGCCCCTAGCATGGAGTACCACAAAGCTTCTCTGCCACCTGAAACCATTAAACATTTCAGCTGCTCCTTTTAACAGGCTCTCATTTTTAATAAAATTCCCTTTCTTGATATCACATCTTACCATAGCGGAGTTTATTTGCACTTACATTCCTGCAAGGATGATGAACCTGAATATATTATGGTCATAATTACAGAACAATTCTCCGACAACTGTCTTTTTAACTAGCTCCTACATACTACTGAGGACCAAATAAAGAGCTGATTATCCTTTTATTGGTCCTTTGATTTGCTCCTCCAGGAAGCAAACATTTATAGTTTTAACTTTTTTGTCTTTGTAATTCCATTCTATGCCTTTTACCAAATCTCTGAAGGGTAACTGAAATCTCCATCAACACTATTTCTGTCCTCAGAGCTTCTCTGATTTCCCTTAACATCCCATTGCCACTTCTATTATTGTGATCAGATGATACCTGGCACAATTACTACACTATATACTTCCCATTTACACATGTTTTGGCAATCCATAAAGGATTCTCCTGTACTTATTGATTCAATTAATCTTGAGAAATATTAAAGACACATAACAGAAAGCCATTCTATCACTAATGCAACATCGCTCTCAATCCTGTATAATTTGTGCCTTGGTGTCACAATGTCGCAACAAGTTTCTGAGTTGCCCGTTACATCACTGTTGTCATTTAAAGCCAGATAATCCAAATTGCCCAGATTTAGATTTGCAGCTTTTGTATTTTGGCTTGACTGCCTGTTTTCATAGGCATGAATTAAACAGGGCTTTATTTCTTAAGACTGCTCTTTACCTTTTTCAGATGCAAACTTTTATGGCTTCTGTGCTAGCCCCCACTCTCTGCCCCGATAGGGAGCTCTGACTTCACCCTACGTGCTCTCAAGAACTTGCCAGTCTCCCCTCAGATATTATTTAAAGTAATTCAGAAGATCTCCTCAGTGCCATCCACACAGGTCTCTCTTGGTTCAGACTGAAGCCATTCTTCCTACATAAATTCTACCTATTCCAAGAGCTCCCACAGTTTCTAATCTAATCCTACACATTCACACACTAAGAGCTACAGGTGTATCTATTGAGACTATCTTAATTTGTTGGATTTTTTTTTTTTCTGTAGCATCAACAGTCATTATTATCTCACCTTGACTGGAGACTACTCTAAGAACTCTCATATTTCAGAGTCAGCAGGCTCTCCTGAGAGAGCCTGTGTATTTCCGTAAGCTTTTTGGTCTTTCTTCTTTAATCTAGCAATCAGGTCTCAAATTTTTAGGGGAAGAACTTTCACTTTTCTGTGTGTTGAAGAAATAATATTTAAACCTGGACAGAGAAAAACATTAACTCAGAGCAAAGGAGATTATATTTTTCCTATGATTTAGTCAGCTTTTCATACTTTATGAAAGAGAAACTAATTTTTCTTCTAGGAAAATCCATAGGAAGATACCGAGGTATCAAAATCTATTCCTCTCAAACCTCCTTTCTACTCTACTTTCAGGAGCTTACTGTAAGCATTACTATTGTTTGAAATATTTTGACATTTCCGCTGTACAATCTTTTTCTGCTGGACTGAGCAACAACCAACTTCTCAATTCAGAAAGCGTAAAACTTCATTAGACCATTTTTCCTGTTCAAATATGCTCGAAGATTTACAAGAAGAGCAATTAATTATTAATTCATTTGAATATTCACCTATTCTTTTCAAGGTCCTGATTTAATTTTGTCTGCCATGAAAGATGACAATCTAAGAAAATTAATCCTTATAATTCTCTAACTGTCTTTTAAATTCACATTAAAGGCTGTGACAAACAAACTAGCAAACTTTACTCTAGAGGTCAAGGTATCACTAGCTGTTTCCTTGCATTCTCTGACAGAAGTTACTGTGCCTTTAAAATAAATTCCAACAAAGAAAACACACAAATGTGTCAGCTGCTCCAGTTTAGAGCCTGGTATCTTAATTCAAGACACCCTTCCATCAGTCACTTAAGCTAAGAATAGTTTTGAAGTAGACTGGCTGAGTTGTGTGCATGAACCCTCTTCTGCCAACCCACTAGAGACACAGCAACAATTCCAGGCAGTAGCACCCTACACTGCTACCACAAGATCCACCAGACCTTGTCTGTCAAAGGCCTAAGTGATTCTGAAATTTATTTTGTGTACTAATAAGTTGTATGAATCCTCAGTGCATCAAAACCAAATTATGCCAGATAAGCTACAAATGTGTTTTACTGTCATTATTCCCATGGGAAACACCTTACTAGAAGCGCCAGAGCAATGCATAGTCTTCTGATATGCAAGACTGCAGATATGCAGTTAAATAATTACATGCCACAATAAATTAAAAATATATATACACACTCACCTCTTGTTTAGTTACTTTTGCTGCATCCTTGCCTTCAGCACCCTCTGGAGACTGAAAGAAAAGATCCAGTCAGCGTTTTTATTACAGACTTAAAAGCATCCAGGCAACAGCAAAACAAAGATTATGTTGAAGACTCTTCTTTCTATACTTTGCAGTAAACTTAAAGAGGCCTGGCAAATTTACATTAGTATTTACAAGCCACATTGTACCAAAGCCATTCTAGATTTTCCAAGCAAGGACACAAGGCCTGATCAACACCAGGTACATACATACCATATCACACAGAGTCCCTCAGTGGTCCCTCTAGCCAATTAACTAAAGCATCCCCAGACTCCAGTGGGAGCTCCATCTAATCAGCAGTTGGTAGCACAACAGTATGAGGTGGAAATCTGAGGTTTGCTCTACTAGGACTTTTGAAATCCCTGAGAAATTTAACATGTTTCTTCCCAAACATGAACTTAACTAATAATGAGATGAACCGAAAAAGCACAGCATTACTGAAATGAATGATTTCTTTACCTCATTTACTCCTTTTGTGCCTCAGGCTCACTCAGCTGGAAGCTTTAACAGTATCTTTCCCTCATCTCATCTCCTCCACCAGAACAGCAAAAATCAGTAAAATGCCAAGACATTGACAGGAAAGCTAGGGACAAACGTGTTTCTTCAACAAGAACGTAGTATCAACCTGACCATTCTAATGCTGGCCTTCTAGAGGTACTAGAGAAACATTAGTTAAACCACAGGAGAGGGGGAGAGGGGAGGAAAAGAAAAAAAAAAAAAAGCTTCTGTCTTGTTTACAACTCAAGATGTATTACTTCACATTTTGCAAATGACTGGGTTTCCACCTAGGAGCAAGCGATTCATGGAAAAACAGCGAGCAGCAGCAGTTACAGGACTACAAGAACAGCATGTGTTTCAAAAAGGCATTTAACAGGCAGCAGAGAAGGCAATTTGGTTGCTGTTTTGTTTTTCAATCAGTAAAGGAGCAGGCTAGTTATCTTTTCCTTTGTCTTTCCATTTCAATCCTAACACAAATCTCCCCCCAGCCTTTGACACGGAATGTCTCAGAGTTATTCAGTTATGGTTTGGGGCAGAGAAAAAGACCAACTGGTTTGCAGCAGTTGACCACCGCCTTCTCCTGGCACTGGGCTTTTACATACTTACAGGAAGACACTCTTCAACCCCCCCCACACTAGAGAATAAAACATGGTTTTGTTACTGTGCACTCTCCTGACAGAAAGGAAGCATGCCACAAAAGCAGCTGGTTTAAAAAAAGACGAGGACTGATCATCTAAGTAGCTAGAAAACAGCAGGAAGTTAAGCAGCACTGCGCAGCGTAGAGCAACTCAGAATAGCAACAGAGTCAGGCATCCAAAATGGAGCCTGACTGTTCCCCACGCTACTGCAGCCTCAACAGACAGGATCGTTTCGGGTTTGCATTCTTAAAAGCCTTTCAGTTTGGTAACTAAAGAGTTGCTACAGCTTGATGGCATCATGCTGGGAACATCAAAAGCCATAAGGAAAACAAAACCAAGCAGTTCCATGCTCACCATCAGCAACACAGTCTTGTTGCCTACAACTTCCCTCTTCAGCTCACCATTCAGTACCAACTCTGGGTATAGCTTTTCTGCAGTCCATGAATTCACAATATCTGTTTTTCCTTAAATGCATTTTCTCCGGTCTGAACTCGTTCCCTGGGAGCGAACTCGAATAGCATGCCTCCTGTCCTGGGCACTTGTTTATATGGAAGTTCTCTCAGATTTTATAATCTTTCCCTCATAGTAGCCAAGAGGCTCAAGATTTACAGGTGTAGGGACAGAAAGACGGCATGATTTACTTCCTTCAGAAGCCAGACTAAAAAACTCACCGTAAACCAAACGAAGCTGCCTGACACTCCACAATCGAGCTGTTATGCCCTGCTTCACTTTTAGGAACCACAGAGCTTTGAAACAGGGCTAAATCATCACAAGATGGCACTGCCACATGCCAACAGCCTTGCAGTAATTGCCCAGGAGCAACCTCTCACCCTGCAACACTGCACAGTTAAGACACAGCAATTTACCCCTTTCTCTTTAGCATTAATAAAAGACAAGTCTCCTACATTTCTGATAGCCTGATTTCAGATGACAATATCATTGTTTGACAACAGATTTTAAAAACTGTTCATGAAGGTAACCACAGAGGAAAAAAAATATATTAAAGTACTCTTAATGCAACCACAACCACTGTATACTACTATGATATATTACACAACATATTTCAATTAAGTTAGCTAATTAGCCCAGCGTTCCCTCTCAAGTTAGAAAATCCAACAGCAATTCTGAAGGCCACGTAACTTTCTCCACAGAGGGACATGCACAGTAATAATCTCAGAGGTGTGAATAAGCAGCAAGGGGTTCTGACATGCTTCATTTTCATTTCAGACCTGCTCCCTCCTCTCTGCAATCACTGCAAGTCCAGGCGTTTGGAGGCTGTGCTCATCCTCCCAGGGCCTTGGCTCCCCAGTACGCTCGCAGAGCTGCGTGGGAGGCCATGTCATGAATAAGGTAATTGATCCAGCTGAAAAATAGCCTGCTGCTTAAACAAATTTATAAATATTATAAATACATATACAAATTATAAACATATAGCCTTCCCTGCTCCAGAAGAATCATTTTACTGCACAGCTGCACAAACAATTGAGCCAGTCCAACAGACAAGAATGAAGTGGCACAGGGCAGTTCCATGCAGTCTGGGACTCTTCAAGCTGACAGACACACCAAAAAAATATGTATGTCAGATATGGCTACAAGTATATTTGATACAAGAGAAACAGAAACTTATTTTCCCCTCCAGGAATCCTGCTTAGACATTCCAGCGAGTCCCAGCTGATGTGGATCTTCATGCTAGTTTTTGCAGTACTTTCTCCTCTCACTAGGGACTGGAGAGATTTGTACAGGAATGGATGTGAGCCAAGCATAGTTCCCAAAGAACTTGGCATGCCACACGCAGTGACTGTCTGCACTAGTATCTGGACGTCCCAGGACTTTTCTGTAGGTACCACCAAAACCTTAAAGTCCTTGTCCATAACTCTTCCCAAACAAACCATCCCCCATCTTTTGTCCTGGTGACAAACTACTGAAGGAACTCTGGTTTCAAAGCAACCAAATGTACTAAGTAACCCATCCCCTTGGCACGTTTTTCCATATGACGTAATGCTACGGCTCACCGTATTTCACATGACACCCCAGTCACATTAAAATGCACCCTGGATACTGTGCCTTACATCGTAAACTAGTCGGGAGCGGGTCTGTTCACACTGCAAGTTTTGTGCAGCAAAATCAAAGACCAATGTAAGCACTGAATCACTTGACAAGGGCAGTACTCCAACCTCGGTAATTCTTCAGCTGTACCCCATCATATGCCTGCATTATACTCATAAAGAAGTCCCTAGAGGCCTGCTGTGCCTGACACTGTATGGTCGTCTACAAGAGACAAGACAAATAAAAAAGCAAATAAGGACACAGATAATAGTTATGTTTATTTTTTTCCAACTACAGAGGTACACAGAAGGAAAGAAGCTGATTGCCTAACTCTAAATATGCTTTTGACATTTAAACTAACAGCAAGTTTTAGGTTCAGATGACCACACATTGTGTCATACCACAATTAGCACTATATATTGGCAACAGGACTGTAAATTAAGCTGTAGCTAAGCTCTGTAAGATCTGTCAGAGCTGCATAACTTTTAAACCACAAGATTAACCTGGAAGGTTGCACGCAAAATTCCCTGTGTCTATCAGCAATCAGATTATTTTTTTTAATTTGCTTTTTCCCCACCCCTTTTTAAGGACAACCTAGAAAATTATTTTGAGAGGACTACAAAAAGTAAAGGACTATTAATAGATGAAAGAGAACATAAAAATAATCAAAGGAATATTAAAATTGAGCTTGTTTGTATACACAGTTCTTGCATTTCACCAGCTGTGAAGTATACATAAGAACCAGGGTTTACACACACCAGGACAATACTGCGCTATCTGCAATGTCAACACCATTACAGAACTGTTAAGTTGAAAACAGAGAACTAGATAACTGTTTTAAGGAAACATTTAATAGAAGATACAGGCAATTTTCCTTTTTTTATTGTTCTTACAGTTGGGTTACCAGTAGAGATGCACCACAAAAGAAACAAAAAACTTCAATTTTTCTAATCAAAACCCTGCAATATAAGCAGGATGTAAAGAGAGTAGAGTAACACAGAGTAGTGAAGTTACTGATGTCTGTTTGAGAGATCCAAAGGTATGTGCTTGAACTTGCAGTGACCACCTTCTGGGTAAGTATTTTGTTTGTACTTAAATGAATGGGTTATACTATTATAAAGGAGTACAATAAAAAGCATGAAGAGTAAGAATACAAGTATCTGAAAAGTAACGGTCAGTACAGAAGGTTGCTTATAAAATGAAATAGATCACTCCTCCTCTGAAGGATCCTCTTACTAGCCAAAACTCAACACCTTGACTCTGATGGGACAGAAATTAGTCCTTTCATACACACATGAAAAAAAAACAAACAAAACCAAACAAAAAAGCAGATGCCAATTTCATTCTAACTACCACCTTAACTTACCCATCCTAGCACTTGAGTATTCTCTATAGTGTTTCCTCCCTTCTTTGCAAACTGTTCTGTCCTGCCACATCTCAATACTGCCTGCAATAGGATTTGCCTGCAGATACTTTCTTGGCTCACTGTTCTAGCTCTAATTTCCATGATGTAATGCTTTGGTCATCCCTCCAACAACTTTTTTCACCAACCAAAACACGAGAAAAGCTTCCAACAAAACCACAGTGCAAGAAAAGAAGACATATCGAGTCCTAAGCCTTTTTCAAGGTTTACTGCACTATTTTCTGAAATTTTTTCCTCCCCTCATTTCCCTGTGAGAACTCTGTATTAGCCTAAATCCAATTCAATGAATTGTTTCCCCATACATGCTAGATCTTCTAATTATTTATCTTCAGAGCAGCTCTGAATTTTGTGCCAGCTCATAAATGTAATTAAAATGCTGTTTATTTCTTGGTTTAGATTAATGAAGACGTGTCAACTAATTTAACACCAACCAACTCCTGCAACACCCTTCTAACCATTGTTTCCTCATTTAGCTCCTCCAGCATCTTATCGTTAACCTTTGTTTATAGCTAGTTCTTTAATGTTTTCAGCAGATAGAACAGTGCTCACTGCCAAGCCAACGTGAATGAACTTTGCAAGTAAAATTAATTCTCCCTAATAAATGCTTTAAGAAATCAGGTATTCTTCCTACTACAGTCCTTCATTTTTTTTTTTTCAACCAAGAGTCTGATCCGGGGCTGGGGGGGGGGAAGCCACTAATTTAAAAACCAAGTAATTCTGCTAGAACCACGAGTGAAGTACGGAATAGATCTGGCTAGTGGCTGGATGTTTTAAATACTTATTCAAAATTATATGTCTTGCTCTCTTCTGAAAAATCCAAGGTAGGTTTTGTTGTTTTGTTTTTTTAATATACTGCATATATATGTACATATATTCTTCACAAAAAAAAACCAAACCCAAAACCCCAACAACAACAAAAAACTTGTTTATTTATTCTGTAAGTATATATTTTAATCTTTTCTGTTAAGAAGTATTACAATAAAAGATTACACAAGATGTCATTTTTAGAATTTAAATCCCTCCATCTTACATCTATTAAGAGTAGAACATTTAGTTTTCTAATTCTTTGGGGAAGAATGTCAAGATCATAAAGTTCTGAGAAGACAAATGTTTAAATATAAAGATGACCATTAACATCCCCTGGTATTAATAAGCAATTGAGGGGGAAAAAAAAAAAAACACAGGGAAAACATTTCCGATCCAAGTCTCCATTCTTGCTTAGAGAGTAAAGCCAAACAGAGTGACTGGTTAACATGCACTGCATTTTCAAAGAATATATGAGAATATAAGAATACAAACAGCCTGTTTATAACCAAAATCAGTAGGTTCAGAAAATGCATTTTATTAAATTCCTTAATTCTTAACAGGTAGGTTCTGTGAGCTTTATGCTCTTCCAGACAAAACAAAGAGACAGAAACCAAGATAGGCCTGAGGTATTTCTAGATACCCAAAACCAGCCAGAATAAATGCTTTTCCAAAAGATGAAAATCCTTCATTGTAGATTGAGATTTTGCTATTCACACTGAAAAAATTGGTCAAAGATTGACAAATATAATTTAAAACACATTTAAATTTGATGGGATATTTTATAAGTCTCACAACTGGTTTGGCTTTTATTTTTCCTTCCAAGTTTGTCTTCTCTGTAGTCCTTTTTTTGAATACGACATCTTCTACCTACAGCAGACTGAAGAAGTAAGAGCAGTTTCTAGAGGCTCAGATTAAAAAAAAAAAACAGCGTTGTAATTTAAAATTAGACAGACAGTTCCTTTTTCAGACAGTGAAGCAATCAGCTGCATTTTGAAAAATACAGATCAGCCATGGGAGCAGCAAGCACAGTGCATTTGAAATTCTTCCGTTTCCCCTGAACAGCAAACGTGAGAATTCAGCTAGGTAGTAAGTAAATTCCTGTCTCGGTATTTGCTTAACCATTTTAGTGCCACCATAAAATAAAAAGATTCAAAGAATATGATGGATGAAATCCAATCCCTAATAATATTATTCCTCTGACCTTTCAAAGCTGATGCCAGTTCTGCAAGTGAGATGAAGCTGATCGACTGATTCAAGTCTACATAGAGAGCCAGAGTTTTCAAAATCTTGATGATTAGGTTCCAAAATCTTTATCTAAATAGACCTGATCAGATCTGAAGAGCAAAACTTGCAGAAAGTACTTCTGAAAAAAATAAAAAATTACTTAGGGATAGAGATTAAATTTAGACAACTACTTTCAATAACTACTGATTCCTGAAAATAGCCACCTCTGACAAGGACTGAAAAAAGGTGTGTAATTCCTCCCCTCCCAGAGTACATAACTGTGATAAAACCACAATAATCTAGAAAATAACCTTTTTATCGTTGTTTCAACTAACTGGTGCCACAGAACATCAAACCTCTGAGACAATGATAGCAGGCCCACGAGTTAGAGGTAGGTACGAAGAGCACAACTGGTACAACACCAACCTCTTGCATCCCAGTAATAATTCCAGCTGTATTGCTGCACTACAACAGCCTGAATGGACAGCTTCATAGAGAACCTCAACGCAGTTTCAAGAGAAGAAAAAAGTAAAATGTCTCCATGAGGGTGCAGGTGGGATAAGGAAGAAAGGATGCAGCAGAGATAAAGGATATTTTCCTATTACAAATAAAGCACCACCAACACCTCTCCTTAACTCTGCTTGACAGGAATAACACACTGCGAGGTAAAAACGTCATTAGACACGATTTCCAACTACGGCAGCACTTTCTGCTACTGCTAACTCAGGTATCATTAGGACAACGGAGAAGGCTAGGTGGGAAGAGCAAACATACCCAACAGTCCCAACAAAGCCAGTGTTGATGGGAACATATGCAATTTTTTTTTTGTGCAGACAGATCCCAACATTCTTAGGGAACACTGCATTTTATATTTGCAGCTTTCACTGTTACCAAGTACACCCACTCTTTACTATGGGAAGGCAGGAGCTGTATCTCCAAGTTACAGGAGTAATTAATTGAAAATTGGTAATTTCCAAAGACACCAAAGGAAAAAAAAAACAAACAAAACAAAAAGTCAAACCCAATGCCTCCCCCTCCCAGTGGTGCAAAGACACAATCTGACCACTGAGTTGTTCTAATTATTCTAATGAATTAAAGAATACTCCTCTATGCACTCTAAGTTAGAGACAATCAAAGAAAAGCTGGCTAAGGCTGCCATCTGATTAATGCCTGGCTGCTGCTAAGAAGGGTTCTGCCCTTCCCCACCTAATGATTCCTGCCAATAAGCCAGCTTAACTCTTTGCGCCGAGGTATGGGAAACTAGATCAGCAGACAGGTCTGGCCAAAAACTACCTCAACACATATGATATCCCACAGGTTAAATCAGAGTAAGGATAGGAATGAGTATCTGGAATTGCTTCTTTTGGCGTGTACCCACCAGCTTGAAATATCTCTTCAAGTGCAGTCCAAACTGTGAAGTCCCACACTGCCAATTTTGCCAGCAATAAAATTGGTACGAGAGCATCTTACTTCTGCATGCAGCCAGTTGCTCATTCCCAGCCATACTCCCTTCTAACAGGTTACCACACATTCATTGTACCTCAGTGCACCATCTCTAAAATGGATCAGTAAAATGATCCAAAATAAAAAAAATAATTCAAAAGCAGGTTCAAACCTGTTAAGTAAACAAGCATTAAGAGGATTACGGCCTGAAATCTAAGTCCAGCACCTGAAAGCACCTTTTTTGGCTATTGGACCATGGGATAAATCACTGTGCGAGCTTAGTGCAATAAAGAACAGAAAATAGATGATGGCCATTATGATCCTATGAAGTCCTAATTTCCAAGAGAAATCTCTGAATCTGGCTTACTTATACAACACAAAAGACAATATTACGATCATGTCAAGAAAAACTCAACTTCATACAATTTCGTGAAACAACAAGGACACACATTGGAATGTAACAGGCCTATATGTGGCTACTGCTTGGGTATAAAACAGCAGAGAAAGTGAAGTTTTTCAAGTAAGAAAAGCAGCCTTAAACTAAATAGCATATATCTACTATAATCCATTTAAACACAGAACTTTTTTATTCTGCAAATTTAACAATATTGATACTCTGGAATACAAAATAATATTACCGCCATTGGCATGCACATGAAAAGATTACCTGCACCTGGTTAGTTTTGAACTCAGAGATGGTGACTTAGAAAGTAGATTGCACTGCTGGCTAGACCTCATCAGATATCATGCTTCAATGTGCCCAAGGAGCATTGAGAATGATTTTTTATTTACGAATCAGCAAAAACCTAAGAATTTTTAGGTTGCCCATTCATTAAGCCCAATTGTATTTCAGTGTGGCCTAAGAAGAAAAAACTATATACATTGTTATCAATTGCTGATAAATGGGTAAGATTTTTACAGACCTGTATACAACAATAGGAAACATTTTATACCTATAAAACCTTGGTCAATGAGCTTTTAATCTTCATAACTCTAAAAACCAGTCATAGCTAAAATTACATAATTAGCTCTTTCTAAGCGATTTTGAAGTGTATCTTTAATATAAATCATGGGCAAATATTTGTTGCATGTATTTAATAGCCCTGTAAACATAATTTATTGCAACATGGCATAGCAGCATTACTCAAGCATTGTTTTTTCTCCAGTGCCATTCAACACTGCTACACTGTATTATATCTAAGTGCACCATACACGGATAAAAAATTGTGACCTTTTCTGCTTAACTTTTCTATGAAAGATGTAGATCCTTTGATTCAGTCTGGTCAACAGATACTTGGAGTAGGCCAACTAAGCAGTTTTCAATCGCTTTAAATACATCAAAGTTCAAAATTCTCAATACTTACAAATTTAGTATAAATGGTACAATTTTCAAAATTGCTAAGTGACAAAACATCGTTTTCCCTTGTATTAGAAGACTCCTGCAACCTTTTAAGATGCTCTGGCACCTCTATTCTGTTTGCCTTGATTGAATGTTCAGTGCATCTTTGCATAGCAATCATTTCACCTGTCTCTGCAAAGGATGCCGAAGGTAGAAGCCCATCTGAGGACTCTGCTTGCATGTTAGGTAAGAGTTTGTCAAAGTCAGGGGTACATCAGTGAAGCAGATGCAAAGGAGGCTGTCTTTAGCTGTTGCCTAGCCTGTTTTCCAGTAGTTACTGAGTGGTCTAGAATTGATCTAATGGGAAAAGTGGAAAGAGAAACTACCTTTTCAGAGCTCTGACTTCCGCTCTTAGTCCTCACGTAGTATAGGGAGAAAGGTGGAAGCAGTCAGCATGAAACAGAAGGGGAGGTCAAGTGAAAGTCTGGAGAGAGAAGTGAGACAGAATGGGACTGGGGAGAGGGCAGCAGCCAAGACATCTGGATCTGGTACTGATCCCCTTTTCCCTTCTAATCTATAATCACCTCCAGAATGTGAAATAAAATGCGGGACCTCCTCCATTTCTGCATCCCACTGCTAACAGAGTGTGTCCTGTTAGTTGTGTTCCAAGAT